CTCTTTCTTGATAATCTGTTGAACTTTCTAATATCTTTTTTTATATTTGTTCACAGCTCGAACGTTCACTTACAAACTTGGTTTAAGACAACACTATCACTCAGAGCGGATGTTCTCTTCTGACCGTCTGCTCTTCACTATTTAGGCATACTGAAGCATTGAAAGTTGAACATGATGGAATGGTTGCACATGTTGCTGTAATTATGTCAGTTGAAAATGGCAGAGATGTTATTGCCCCTCTTCAACGACTGGCTGACTTGACTGATATATATATATATATATATATATATATATATATATATATATATATATATATATATATATATATATATATATATATATATATATATATATATATATTTCGGGAGGGGTCCTCCCTCATACCCTGATGAAGGGAGGACCCCTCCCGAAACTGTTGGGAAATAAATATATTTATCCTTGTTGACAACGCTCCCATTGTGCCATATCCCATACCTTCACGAAGACTAACTGGACCATTGAATTATTACTCCCACTATATATATATATATATATATATATATATATATATATATATATATATATATATTGCCACGATTTGGTAGGCCATATAGTCAACCACACGAGTGCTTTTTCTATTGGGACGTTAAACCCCACATATCAACCAATCAAAGTGCTTTGTCTTTACGGAGCCAGAATGTCAGCTGCAAAAGTTTCCCTTAATTACGCGCATTTTTTTTTCGTAAGACTTCATTGTGACTGCATTTCGTCACTCACTTAATTTTAGTAGTGGTTGGCGTACTCCAGATAAGTGATGTCCACCTCGTATTTCGTTAGCGTCGTGCACACGCGTGCACACCCTTGTGTGCATCGAAACCTCACGCTGATCTGAACGCCCTCGCCCACCTTTTCTACAGTATCCAATGTCCATGAGATATCAGCCTAGTCTCAGCTCGCAGTGAGCTACGATTCATTTCCTTCTACGAGGGCGTCCCATCATGTGGAAACATGCAGACTCGTGACACGTCAGAACGCACGTCTGGCGGGGCTTCTGGTGTCCGCCCTCACATCGGCGCATCCGACGACCCTGTTTGCGCGATACAGCTGCCGTTATAATGCGACGGAAGTTATGTAAGCACTGTCGTTACTCTTGTGTACACTGTCAGGTCGTCGAAGGAGAGACGTTTTGGGAGCGCTGTTTGCAGGCACCACGCTGGGTTTCTCAGAAGGGAGTGAGAAGGAAGTTGGTAGTTTCCTTGGAAGAAGACCACGCTGCGATGTCTGTGTGCCCAGACGCACGCAGAGCGTAACACGCGTTGTTTGAAAGGAGTGCTGTTCATCCAGCGGTGCGTTGCAACATCACGTCTGGAGCGCGCGCTTCCGAGACCCCCCGACGCGCGGCGGCTGCCTAGACGCTGATTGATCACCGGATCGCTGGGCTGCTTCCATAGTCCTTGCGTGCGCACAGGCTGCCGCCGCGGTGCAAAACCCTTTGGTGCGTGCTGCCGACAAGTGACGGCCGGCTTGCTTCGCGGTTGCCACCCTGATCACATATCGGACGCCTCCTCGTTTCTTTCTCCTTCGCTTCTTGCTGATGCTCTTTCACTTCCCTCTTTCCGTAATTCTCAGACTCCAGGGTAATTGTTTTTTCGGCAACTCTTCATCTTCGTCAGAATTCCTGCTTCTCTTCCAGTTTGGCTTCATTATTAACTTGTGCGAGTGATGCTCGAGGTTGAACGGTTGAACCAGTTAAACAGTTCGGGTTTAGCAAAGATAGTTCATTGTTCATCTTTCTTAGCCGAGCTACCACGGAACTTCACTTGACGAGACTTCCCATGACTTTAATCGAGTGCCAGAAAAAAGTTCGCTTTCCCCTTTTACAAACATGGTCGATAACTAGTGGTGTAACAGCATTCAATATAAATACCTGAGACAAACAGCTAACCATCATACAACAGTTCGAAATGCTGTTAAATGTTTAGTACAGTTTCGTTCATAAGCTGCCTAATTAGGATAGCTCACACTCAGGTCTTAAGTGCGTAACTTGATTCATGGCTGCTCTAAAAAACACGGGCAACAGGTGAGACGTACACACGACGGACACATACTATCAACTTAATTGCTGATCTGTTCTCCATGTTTTTTAGCGCAACTATGAATCACGCTTGCACTGATCGGAATATCGTAGACACATAGCGTACAACACCATGGCGCATGTGTGTGAGCGAGCTCGTGTTACAGTGTGCTTCCACACCTTTGCACGAGAAGTACATGCCTTTAAGCTCTTATTAAAAGTGTACTATGTCACTCAGCTGCGTATTAAAGGGGCCCTGCTGCTACACTTCTTCAGCATTATCAGGAAACGCTGCCGATCGGTAATCGAAGCTTCCGTGAACACGCGAGCCAAACAATCTAGCGAATCACGTGACCTGGAATATAAAATTAATACTCAGTGAGTGGGAAATCACTCCCGCTTATCTTTACAAATGATACCATCGACCTAAAATGACCACGTTTTAAGCGCGATGTCCACGCGTATTGTCTGATTCAGGCCTCGCGAGCTGCATAGTTACCGTGGACGCCGTGGGGTGTCACCACGCACCCGCGCTCACAATCACACGCAAAGTAAGCCTCGTGATTGAAGGAAGAAAGAAAGTGCTGAAGTTAATGGCGCACTTTGACGAAGGGAGGGGTCTCCTTGCTGCTTGTCATGTCCCTCCCGGCGTAGCTTTCAGTGCGCTCACTGATACAGAAAAATAAAGCGTTTGAACCGTGCGACATATCCTTGTAACTCTGCTCATGCTTGAATGATTCTAAAAAACTTCGGAAGCACTCGATTCGCGAGGCAACAAGCTCTTTTATTGGAGTTATTTGACTATTACTGGAAAAGTGTTGCAGGGTCCCTTTAATATCACCTGAGCTTAGTAAGCTTACCTTTAACTGCGCAGAAACAGGCTAACCTAAGCAAACCCTGTCACGCAACCTGAGCTTAACTTCTGTTCATTTTGTAAACTCATGCTCGTGCGCTGAAGTTGCAAGGCCCTGCAGAGGCTTCTTTTCGGTGCCCAGGCATCGACACAACGTGTGTTCGGTGATGGATGACTCCAGAGATCTAAACGCGAGCAGCATATATACGTACGTGCGCCTGTTGTACTTGAAGGCTGTAGTTCTCTGCGAAAGACACGCTGAATGTGCAACAGTTGTTCACGGGGAACAAATAATGAACAAAAAAAGGATAATAAAATACGTGGCCGATGAACAAGCGCTAGATTTTCGCTCTTTTTTATTCATGTTAGTTAGGTAACTTCAAATTGCAAATTCTGACAAATTGCTCCTTTTGCAGCAATCACTTTCGAAGAATCGCGTTGCTGCTATTGAGCTGTATGAGTCAGTTTTCGTCGGCAGCGTTTACATCGCTGAACACTTTAACCTATATGCAATCTGCTGGCTTCCTCGTTGATTGATATGTAGGGTTTAACGTCCCTAAACCACTATATGATTATGAGAGATGCCGTAGTAGAGGGCTCCGGTAAGTTCGACCACCTGGGGTTTTTTGACGTGCACCCAAATCTGAGCACACAGGCCTACAATATTTCCGCCTTCATCGGAAATGCAGCCGCCACAGCCGGGATTTGATCCCACGACCTGCGGGTAAGCAGCCGAGTACCTTAGCCAATAGACCACTGCGCTGGGGCAAGCTGGCTTCGTCGTTACCTGGCGTGGTAGAGCGACCGATCCGGAAATATTTTGTACCCAGCTTCAAGTCTCGAATTCGGAAAACTTTTTTTTCATCAAGTACATTTTTTTTTCTGAAAAATTCATGTACATCTTCTTGTAAGTTCATGCTGCGGACAACTGGATGCCATTTTTTTCCTTTTGAACAACGCAGTTTTATGCAATGCAGCAGATGTCTTGTCGCTTGTTATGGAAAAAACATTTCAAATAAATTTCAGTCCCCTGCACTGAATTATACGCGTAATTTTACTGGTGAAATTGAAGTTTAGGTTTGGTCAGCGAAAGTGTGCTCAAGAGAGGGGAGCTTGTTGTTTCGTTTGCTTTTTGATCCTACCGGCGTTGAAGTGTGTGTGTGTGTGTGTGTGTGTGTGTGTGTGTGTGTGTGTGTGTGTGTGTGTGTGTGTGTGTGGGTGTGTGTGTGTGTGTGTGTGTTTTGACATCATATTCATCGGTTGTGGTTCCTTTTCTGATACTACAGGCGTTGAAATGTGTGTGTGTGCGCGCGCGCGCGCGTGCGTGCGTGCGTGTGTGTGTGTGTGTGTGTGTGTGTGTGTGTGTGTGTGTGTGTGTGTATGTGTGTGTGTGTTTTGACATCATGTTCATCGGTTGTGGTCTTTTTTGCAGTTAGGTACGACAATAATAGTGGTCAGTCTTAGATAATGGTGCCCAAGTCTCTGAGGACACAAGCCACCGGGCATGCAGTAAAAAGTATCTGGAGGGGAAAAAACGCGATTATAGTGTTGCGTCTCTAAGTATTTGAATAGCCTATACTGTAACACTTTCGATTGCTCCAGCATTTGCTTAGCTATACGCAGTGTACATTTTTCAACTGTATTTTCCATTTATAAAGTTGCAAGATTAACAGTATCTACAAAAAGGACGGCCATCTTTGACACAAAAGAATCACCCCTATGAGTAATGTTTGGAGCCGCCCCTAACAACATCACCTCCAGGAAGCGAAGTTTGACATCCAAATTACTAAGCAAAATGCGTTTCTTACGAGGTGTGCTTCTTTCAACGAAATCGCCGTCAAGCCCTAGTGGAAGGGAAAGAATAGTATTACTACCACTCGTCCTGGAATGATCACACGCGCCTTTTTCGTGGTGTCTTATTTAAGGATGTTACAGGAAACTGTTCAAGGGAAAACTTTTATGGGAATGATCCATATTAAACTTCTTCATTAACAAAATGTTTAGATGTTTAGACCCTGATTTCAGCGAAGCTTTTCGATTACAATTGCGCTTGACCTTACACATTGTGGCCTGTTCTCTCCATCTTTTACGCAGAGGACCAAGCAGCCCCATCGACGCCTATGCTTGACAGCAGTGAAGACGGCTACATTGTCGACACGTCGATGCCGCCCTGTGCCGTCTACGATTCGGCACAGCGGCTTGTCGGCATGTCCGTTGAGACATTCGTACTTGACATGCTCAAGCACGCCGAGGTGAGCACCAGGGTTCTTTCCGTTACGCATTCAGACTCCCTTTTAGCGTTTCTAGCTGAGCTGTAGTCGGTGGCTGGGCTGTACATCCAGGATTCCTCAAGCGCTATACAGCTTACCTGTGCTTTGCGGGACCCGAGAGAAAACATGTCGTCCAGCAGTCATTTCAAGCCCAAGCACTTCGAATATGCCTTGGCCTTCCGAGATGCGCATCTACAGCAGCGACAGTCGTCATTGCGCGTGATTATTCAGTCAACACATATATCCGTGTAGACGCTTTGAGAATGCACTTAAGACTTTTTGATCGGATTCCATCGCATCAGATCACCCCGCTTCGAACTTCTAGGCCCCACTCAGCGTTCAGTGCAACTGTATAGCTCGTCATTGCGCCGTGCTTCGATCACACTTCATGTATGCATCACGGTCGCCGTTACCATTGAGGTGCCTACACCCACTGAAAACTCTCCTTGCCATTCCTGGCATTCAATAGAAGAAAGTTATCGCATCTAGCCCTGAAACAGGCCACATAACTGTTATTGCATGAGAAGCGCAACGGACGACTTCACATTTACATGGATGGCTCTGTTTCTTCAGTAAGCTCAGCAGAGGTAGTGATTATTCCAGCGAAGTTCATCACTAAATGACATCGCATTTGACGTCATCGACAGCTGCAGAACTCGGCGCCATACGTGCAGCTCTGCAGTTTATAGTTGAAGAACCTTCGTAAGCTTGGTCCATCTTCTCGAACTCGAAGGCAGCTTTTAAATATCTTATGTCAACCTTTGGCCATGGACCTGATGAAGAGTTAGTAGCTGATATATCACTTTTTCACCCCCATGCAATTGAGAGACAACACAACATTGCGTATCAGTGCATACCAGGTCATTGCGGTATATATGGCAACGACCGCGCAGATGAGGCCGCTACATCTGCACATGACGGTACGTAGTACACAGCTATCCCGTCCTCAAGAACCGACACAACTACAAAGCCTCAGTCGCTTGCACGTGAACTAACAATGGTACAGCGGAACTTGACGAAATTTATAAACGCTTGTCTGCACAACTTGGATCCCGATCTCATGCTTCGTCTTTTGACAGGAATATCTCGAGCTGAGGTGACTCTGCTGTGCCGCCTCTGGCATGGCGGGGACTTCACGAACGCATACTCCTGTCTTATTGCAATGGCCAGCACCTCTGCGTGCAATTATTGCAGCTGCGAAGAAACATTCGCCCTCCTTCTGTGCGAGTGTACCCATTTCAACACGCCAAGACAAGAACTTACCGAAGTTCTCGGATAGACTAGAGGATCGGCCTTTGTCGGAACAAAGAATTCTGGGTCATTGGCCGAGTCCATCATCAGCGCAGAAGACTGTGACAGCTTTGCTACTTTTTTTTGCGGAAAACTGACCTTAGAGACAGACTTTAGGGTCATATTCTCTTTCTCCTTTCTTCTTTCGCTATTTTTTGCCTTATCTCTCTCTCTCTCTCTTTCTTTGTAACATTTGTTTTATATCATCTTTTACTTCCCTTACCCTCGTCCCCAGCACAAGGTAGCCAGGCGGTCTAAGGAGTGGCAAACCTCCCTGTCTTCCCACTTATTTCTTTTCTACTACTCCTCCTCCTCCTCCACCAGGGTTCTTCAAAAGAGATGGCAGTGGCCAAATATTAGAAAGTATGGTTTTCCATCATGTTTTCTATGGTGCAGATAGTTGCGCCTATCAGAAGTGTCCTGTTGCAGTAATCATAGACGCAGTGAAAGGAAGTCCGTCAAACTACCAACTCACGAAAATTTGTTCTTCTGTCTCCTAGAGATGCCTCCGTTGAGACGAAGATAGATTCGAGCATGTGGTTTGTGCTCCTTCAGTTCATTTCAGTGAATACCAATTTCTAGGGTAAGTCTGTAAAATATTCGACCTCAAACCACCTCCTGCATTGCACTGACAATGACAACGAAACCCTAGTACTCTGTTAATGTATACATTGGGCTCTTGGTGAGGAGGATAGTGGCGCATTGAAATCGGGGTGCCAAGTCGTCCTCATTGCGAAGGTACAAAAGGTACGAAGTTGAAAGGGAGGGGAAAAAGGAAGAAATGGGGAAAATGGGGAGAGATATAGCTCCCGAACTCGGATTCCCACCACCGTTGTTGCGCCACTGCTGTGGATAGTTGCTATGTAAATCTGCGGTAGGTCGCGAGTTCGAACCCCACCGCCGGACACCCACCGGTCAAATGGATACAGGCGATGCCCAACAAAAGAGCATGCTCGGGGAAACTCCCGCCGCCGCTAAGTGAAATATGTTAGCGCTATGTAGAAAGCTGAATCGTAATCTAACGGCTGCGTAGTAACCATCTCTCCTACGTGGTATTTCCTGCTTTGTTTTTGTCACTCAGAGCTCCCGAACCAACTTACGCTGTTTCATATGCTTATAATAGGCCTGCGTGTATATAGCATTTGGGCATGATCGAATTATCATATATACTGGGTGTTCTTTTAAAGCAATACATATTTTCCTTAAAAAACTATGATAGGTAGGACTTGTCCTCTTCACAGCCAATTTCCAGGCTGAGTCAGAAATATTTTGCCACTAATTAGATCACTCCGGAATGATTATTCGATAAAAATAATTGAACTAGCTTATCCATATACATTTTAGGGTGGTTGTTTATATGGAGAAATCTTTTAAGGTCTCAAATTATGACAGGCTTAGTTTTACAACGAAAGCTCATATGAGATCATACCACGGGTCATGCGCGGTGCCGTATATAGTTGCCCTCCACGGCCGCCGCCGATGGCCGTAATCAATAAATAAAAAAAACACCGAGGACTTAGTGGTGTTCGAAGCCGGGTCCGCTGCGTGCCAGCCCAGTATTCTACCACGGAGCCACACCGGTGCTTGGGATTCGCTCGCAAGCTTGCCAAAGCAGGCTTGACTTCGAGAAAGGAATCGCGTTAATATGAGTAATAAAGCGTTTCATAGCAGCAAAACAACAACCAGGCGTCACAGAATGCGAATAGAGTAACGAGTGCGTCGTCCAATGCTCTATGCCGTTACAACAGCTTTTTCTTAATCGCCTACTGACTGTGGCGCATACCCACTTCAGGCATAATTTCTCATTGTTGTCACCATTGCTTGAACGGTTGGCACAAAATTTCTTGCAAGTGTTCAGAGGATAGTACGCTTCTCTGAAGAATAGTAAATGCCGGCCTACTACCAATACATTATGATTAATAATGGCGTAGTGGGTACCCAGCAAGTTTGATTGCAGCAGTTACCCAAAGAGTGTTTAGAAAACGTTCTGAAAGGCTGCTTTTCGTGCTTTCGTGGTGGCGCGTTTCACGCAGGGCTGGCGTTTTTTTTTTTAAGTGAAAATATCATACGTGGTTCCGGAGATCTATCATTGAATTCACAGACCGCAGTGCAAGAGAAACCGAAACTAGCCCTCCGAATGAGCCAAAACTAGTCGAGCACGTCAAAACTTGCGCGTTAGTTCCGGTTTCTCCGGCACTGCGGTCAGGAATTTTGACGATGGATCTCTAGAACCACGCGTGATATTTTCAATTTTTCAAAACTAGGCTCGCCATAATTTGTGACGTAGAACAACTTCGCCGTACAAACTACCACTCTCAAATTGATAATAAAAATATTAATTGAATAATTTGTGTCAATTCATCATTCCGGGGTGATACAATCAGTGGCACAATCTTTCCGCCTCGGCCTAGAAATTGCCTGTGAAGACAAGTGCCTACCTATTATTGTTTTTTAAGTAAATTATGTATTGCTTAAAAAACACCTTGCATATGTTTTTGCAAAGCTAGGTCAGTTGCCGTTATTAAAAAATGTTTGTGTTCTGTTGGCTTGCTTATTTGTTTGATTTTTTTAAGTTCGCGGTTTAATAGAAGTTTCATACAATTCGGTCGTTGGCTGCTCCCATCGATAACCGTGGTTCAGTCTTACGTAGTGAACGGCGCCCGCCTAGACAGGTGACCAAAAATATATTGCTTGAACTAACCCTACCTAGATTGAGTGCACATACTCCAGTCCTCCAGTGCACATATGCAGCGGTAATAAAACACTCGGAAGCGTCCATGTTGGCAGTCATTCGCAACGCAAACGAGTGAACGTGTATGGTACGACAGCGAGAGTATAGCAAGCCTACAGTCTAAAGAAACTGAATTGCGAAGGGAACTGCTGCAGCCTTGATGTTCGAAACGGCATTTAGCTTCCCTTCTTTATTCACTTTGGTTTGGAAATGCTCAATTAACATTTCTATCCACGTACTCGCGTGCTTTATACGTTGAGCTAACACGTGTCGAGAAGGTTGCGATGCTGTCCACGATGTTATAAAACTTCCACCTATAACTCGACCTTCGTAACAGTCACAAAAAATTACTTTTTTATTCAATCTGCCACCTTTCTTTTGCGTCAAAACATCGAACCCCGCTAGCGCTGCTCACTTAAGTCGAAATGGTAGACAAGGAGTATATTTGCCCATGCCTTCAGGGATGGGCCCTGATTTGTATCTATTTCTACGGTGGGCTCACCGAACACCTATGGTGAGCTGAGCAGCTACTTCCACAGACGGGAGAGGAACGGTATGCGTGGTCTCATTTTGAGGCCCATTCGCAACCTGTGGTCGCAGCCAGCGTCTCCTAGGTTTCCAAATGTCTTGCTGAGTCGCGCAAGGCACAAGCCGCCCACTGACGCTATCGCGCGAAACCGTACATCGCCTTCCTCCGCTCGGCTCTCTCGTCGGCTTATCCGCCTCCCTTCCGCTCGCCGCGACAGCGTGCTGCGAAAGACATTCGCCCACATGGGCGCCGTTAATGACCTGCCTAATAACGCAGCCACTATATAGCATCGTGTTCGCGTTGGCGCCTTTTCTGCGCGAATATCCATGCGTCGTGGTTATTATTTTCCTGACCGCGGGGGTGGGCGGCCGTTAATCTTAGCGCCGTCGTACCGAGCATGCTCGGCGCGAGTGGCTGCCGTCTCTCGCTGCCTGACGCTTCGGTTTCACCCTCCGCTTCCACATGGAGCTGTTTAGGGTGGTCGCCCACTCTTTCCTTTCATGTAGTGCGTGCTGCAGCGACAGAATAAAGAAGCGGTGAGCATGACGCTTGCGAAAGTCAGAGAAGTGTACAACCTGACGCGTGCGTACGGGACAGAGCATGCACGCCAGCGAAGCCAGCGTAATGAAGAGCATTGGGCGAGCATGCCGCGGGCGTGCTCAGAATAAGCGCGTGAAACACCGGCGGCGATGCGTGTATCTGCAGTATACGAACTCCTCGAGGATGAATTTGTCAAGAATTTTTTTTTCCTTCAGATGCCCTTCACTCTGTCGCTGCGCACTTATTTTGTTAATTTACTAGTAGGAGAGCCACAACTGTTAAGTGGTAGAAAAGGACGTGGCGGTTGGTGGAAAGGGAATAGGGGAAGGAGGGAGGTACTCGCAGCGATTCTTTTTTTTTTTTTCTGAATCTATACGTATGAACAGGAAAAATGCCACGGGCGTGTAGCTAGTGAGAGACATTGATCGATATAAGCACACTTTGAACTAAGCTCTTTCTGCGACAGCGTCACAGCTTTAGCCGAGTTTTAGCGTTCACAGGGCAAAAATTTTAGGTAACACTTCCAGGCGAGCTAACGCTTTTTGGAGATGACTACCTCAAATGCGAAGCTTGTATTGGTATTTATGGTCAGGTTTCCTTGAGCAACTAATAATAAATGGAATTAGTAAATTGAATATAGTATATTTTTACTTTAACACAAACATTCTCATACTAGCCATCGCTAATATTGCATTGACTAAAGGAACTTATATTGTGTTTTTTTCTAGGCAACGTAAAAATTTTTCACACCTAAAAAACGTGTTCAAATGCAAAGTTTTGCGCCAGTTGATTCATGAGGCAATAAGCTCCATTGATGAAGCCATTCGATGGTACGTGAAAAAGTGTTGCAGGGCCCCCTTTGCTAATTGTGTAAGATTTCTCAACTGGAATGGCCATGGTTGCTGATACGGCCTGACTATCTTCGCTAGCTACGTGCCTGCACTGCTATATCGAACGCTTTCGCTTGTGCAGTGCGGCGTTTCCAGATAGACGGGTCATATCGGAATCCATTCAGCGCAGGCGCTGATCTCAAGCTCGCGTGAGAAGTGTGCAAGCCGTGTTTTTTTTTAATGTGTGTGTGTGGAGGGGGGGGGGGAAGGGCTTGAACGACAGTAGGCAGTTGTGGGGCTTACTCTCAGCCGTCTGTAAGCCACAGCATAGAGAAATATACTACACAAAGAGTGGCCACTCGAGCCTTTTCGCGGTCCAGCAAGAAATAGTTTGACCAACCACTAGATGGCGTTCCCATGCTCGTGTCTACTCCTTCGTCAAGAGATGTAATAGCCGGCTCAGAAGGACACTAAAGACCCAAGTTTGGCATCAAATTTTTGCCAAGAGGAAATTTTATTGATGTGTGCAATTTTTCATATCCGCTCTACATCGCGTCCCGCCCGCTCAGGACGTTTGATGCTTGATCGCAAAAATCAGTAAAGTCTGACAAGAAAGTGTGGTTGTTTTTTTTGCTTTTGTCTTGCACAAAGGGTACACATTCATGTAGTTGATATGTGTGTATACATGTATTCCCTTCGTGAAAACATGGCTCTGTAGCCTAGAGATGAATCCACTCGATTTCGACATGAGAGTATGGGTTCAAGTCCCATCATCAGAAAGAGACACTTTTTGTTATTTTATTTATGTTGGAGCCATCGGGTCTGACCAGCCACTGGTGGCGCTGAAAGCAGCGCAGTAGCTCAGCCACAGGGCCCTACGGGAGTGTCCGCTCTTTATGTGAGTATGTTTCTCTATGGCCACAGTGTATATATTTGCCCGCGTGCTCATTAGTTTTCTCAAATAAAGCATTTCCTTTTTTGTCGCTGCTGTTACGTTACTTGTGCCTGCTTCTTGCAAGACTTTACTGGTACGTGACAGTACAATTCCTTGCCACTTGTCTTTTCAGAGCCTCACCTGCTCAATTGGCAAGAAGAGCGTGTCTCAGCAACAGAAGTCTTGCCTCGACTTCATTTTTGATCCAGTCAGTAAGTACAGAAAAGAACTCGCACCGGACTTCGGAAGATGTCTAATCTAATACCTTGTGCATCGTTTCCTCAAATGAGCCGCGGAGCACCCATTACCAAAGTCTAACCTTTTCCCATTTATTGGAAGCACGCAAATGAGGGCCTCAGCAAAGGTACCACACTGGGAATGTATAGTAAAGCTTTTCAGTGCGGTGCGACGCGTTGTATGACCACGTAGTTATTAAAGTTTTAGTGCCGGGGACCCCAAGTCTCCCGCGTACGCATGTTCTTGCGTTCCTTTGTACTCTCAGCTGCATCCACAGAGGACACGAAGGAACGCAAGATTGTGCTTACGTTGGAGGATGGGGGTCCGTGGCACTAAAACTCTCTAATGTCGCGCGAAAAAGGAAGCACCGCCAAGTACAGGGAAAGTGTGCTGAAGAGCAGAAAATTTTCTTCCACGGCCAGCAGAAAAAGTCTGGTGCGAGCATTTTTTTTTATCTGCATGCTTCAGACGTGAAGGTTATGTCAGTACCTGTCATCAGTCGTGTCATGGTGGCGACTCCGCCTGTCGGGTGATGAGAAATATTTAGATCGTTGTATAGTTATCTATATGCTATTTGCTGTGCCAAAAGTGGTACAACAAGCCTCGAATGAACAAATTTAACCATTTTTTATGAATGTGCAACTCCAAATAATATAAAAAATTATGCAAGCGAAAACAGTCCTTAACACGTTTTTATCATAATTAAAGTGAATAAATGATCAAGCGCAAAGTGACTCTCATTTAAGAAATATAGTTAACCTCTACACCACACGAGGCCGAATTTATAATTGTATTCGTTGAACTCTCTGCGCACGGATTTGCCTCATTATCCACTGTACCGGCGATATCCCTACGCAGACGACTATCGATGAAGTTACGCATCCTTCAATGTCATCTGAAAATGAAACGAAACGCTGTCTCATCATCACTGAACACACGCCCACTGCCAGCTTGTCACTTCAAAGGCAATAGAGCATATAACAGTCCCACTTGCTGTTATCATCGGTTCGTTGTCCTCCAAACAGAGCACCCACACGTGCCTTTACTTCTCATTGAATTCTCAAAGGTCGTGTTTCCGCTTTTTTGCGCTGAACAAGCGCTTGGAGTCCGCTTCATTCTTCGTTTGAAAGCTGATGCGAAACAATAAAAAAAGAAAAGGAGGTAGTACGTATACTTTGGTCGCTTGTCAAACTTCCACTGTTACAGATATATATTTTAGACAGCCCCACCGTGGTGGTCTTGTGGCTAAGGTACTCGGCTGCTGACCCACAGGTCGCATGATTGAATCCCGGCTGCGGCAGCTGCATTTCCGATGGAGGCGGAAATAGTGTAGACCCGTGTGCGCAGACTACGGCGTCTCTCACAATCATATGGTGGTTTTGGGACGTAAAACCCCACATATTATATTTTTTGGATGAATCGAGGCTGAGACCTGAAGGAGAAAAGTGTGCATCGGTGCCGCGGGCTGCCATATCTCTTCTTCTTATCGCTCGGTCCTTTTTACGTCACGCGCAAGTGGCTGGTGAACAACAAGGCCGCTCACTATGCCTGGAGATAGCAAGAAAACGAGAGTGGTGCGTAGAATGCTCGGCCTAGTGATCGTGCCTGCAAATTATGAAACACCCGCGGGACGTGAAAACGGTGCAAATTTCAAAACAGAACGCATCGCGCAATTTCCTTCGCAATCTAGGGAGAGAGTGAATGAAGGTGCGCGCGCATGCGCGCCCGACAGGCACCCGCTGCGACGGCCGATGTGCAGAAGTGGGCGCGGCTGCACCGGTCGTGAAGCGTCCCTCAACGTGGCGCGTAGTTACGGTGCTCCACACACTCCACAGCACGCAGGGTGGCCACTACAAGTGCTCCGAGAAGCAAATATAAAGACTATAGAAAGCAGTCTAGCGTCAGGAATCCACTTCTATAGTTTCGCACACAGCTACCCGAAAGTGATAAACGAGGAGATCGCGTTTTTTTTTATTCCGAGCAACGCTGTAAAAATGACCTATTCAGAAAGAGAATGCAGAATAGCTACTGCAAAAATTGCTAAAAACAGGCCAAACAACTCAAAAGCGCTGTGAACTCTAGACGTGGGACAGACACACCTTCTAGTAAACTGGCAAGTTAATAAAAGAAGGTTATGCGACAAGAATTGCAGTAAAAGATGAAGGATTCGGACAGAACTGTGATTCACTGTCTTTACAATGCTTTTGAAGACAAGAGAGAGAGATAAATAAACGTTTATTTAGAAACAGTGTTCCGAGCGAGGCCCGGTGTCACCCTAAGGTGGGAGGGTTCCCTAGTACAGGAACCCTCTGGCTTCGACTGCCCTCTTGGCCGTTAGGGAGCACGCTGCACCGTGCTTCCTAACGGGCTGCAGAAATTAGGCGTCTTTTCCTTCTTCTAATCACAACCGCCACCACCTCTTGGCCCAGGCGACGAGTTGTCGCTGGTCTTTCCGGTCATCGAAGACGAGCATATTGGTGCACACGTGTCTTTTTTCGCTCCACCTAAACTGTTGAAAGTTTGTAGCCTAGCAATTCAAAAAGAAGGCATGAAGTCGACACACACAAAAAGTGAGTGGATAATTCAACACAGAGATAAGTATGTGCCTTACAAAGTCGGTGTTTTTTTCAGACGTCTTTAAAGTGTTGCAAATCTTATTCAGCGGAAAGTGTGCGATGCATCAAGGGAAGAATGAGGAAACACGAGCGATCTTTTTTTTTCTAACGAGCCGGGGTAACATTTGCAGTGCACTGGCGAGAGCGTGCTTGCGAGCCGGCTTTTAAGTGCACAGCACTTCTTTCCAAGGAGTGCAGTCATAGGTGGTGAGATCACAGATGATTTTCTAGTCAGGAGAAAGAAGTAGGCGTGCATCAATCATTCGTCGATTAACGTTACACTCACAAGGAGTATGGTTATCTATGCTTCATGAGCAATAACGCAGCAAGTTAAATAAAATAGATTAGATTTACGCGTCTATTTTTTTTTCGTGTTTCATTTTTCCCTCACTACACCGTAGCTCTGGCTGGACACTATTTAAAGACTGCTTACGTGTTTTAAGTAGACCCAGTCGTAAATCTGCGCTAGCTTATCTGGCATTTCTTTTTTTGTCCAGCCCGGTCACGCAGCTCGATCGAAAAATAAGCCGTACCAACTAGCCCAGTTTTCACTGCTATTTACTCAACCTCCCCTGTTGCACACAACACTTTAATATGTGGGGTTTAACGTCGAAACACCACCATATGATTATGAGAGACAACGTAGTGGAGGGCTCCGGAAATTGCACACAACACTTTCAAACTGTTGATTGATATGTGGGGTTTAACGTCCCAAAACCCCCGTATGATTATAAGAGACGCCGTAGTGGAGGGCTCCAGAAATTTCGACCACCTAGGGTTCTTTAACGTGCACCCAAATCTGAGCACACGAGCCTACAGCATTTCCACCTCCATCGGAAATGCAGGTGCTGCAGACGGGATTTGAACCCGCGACCTGTGGGTCAGCAGCCGAGTGCTTTAGTCACTAGACCACCGTGGTGGGGCACTTTCAAACTGTAGCCAGAATGTTTTACGCCATATTTAGCCCAATCCAGCTTAGCTTGGCATGATACTGTCGGCTGGAATGATATTGTCACAGGTGGTATTTGTCACCGGAATCCACAGAAGACGAGGGAGCAGCAGACAAGCTTTATTATTAATGATCCAACTTTCTTTCTCGTACAAGGGACAAAGAAAAAAAAGCCAAACCAATGCGGCGGGTACAGTGTCAATTTTTATGAAAGGAAACACTGGAACGCGTGGCCTGCGCGCCCCGGCGGCTGCTGGCAGGGCGTTCAAGCAGGAGCAAGAGCAACCACAGTCTCTTTTCGCGTCATCTCGCGGCGAGGAAAACAACCATTCGTTGCTGATATGGAACCAGCGGCAAGATTTCGACATCATCTCCCTTCGAGGCGATTAAGCGAGAGCCAGTAAGTGCCTTGAAGGGGGAGGGGTTGCAATGTTGCCGTTTGATATCAGCAACCACTGGTAGTTTTGCTCGCCGCGAGATGACGCGAAAAGAGACTGTGGTTGCTCTTGCTCCTGCTTGAACGCCCTGCCAGCAGCCGCCGGGGCGCGCAGGCCACGCGTTCCAGTGTTTCCTTTCTTAAAAATTGACACTGTACATGCACGGCTGCTGCTGATCAAGGGATCAACCTGAAGTTAACGCGCTGCCAGTATTTAAGCACTGCGCAGCAGCACCACGACATGTTCATACGTGTCATTATATATTGTCCTGGCTGATACCATGGGCCCATCGGAAGTTTAAAGCTTATCTCAGTCAGTATCGACCTATGTAAATGACGTAACAGCTGTCACTCATCGATGGTTCCGACTGTGAAGTCCGATGCCGCACGCGGCAATATGAGGACAGGGAATACATTTAAAACAAAGGCAAAAGTGGGGACTAGTTGTGGTGATCAAGAAAACCTCTCATTCTTGTTTCTGCCAGCACGTGTAATTTCAGCGTTCTTTTAGGTTGCATGCTTAATTTGAGGCTCCAACCATCTTTAGCAACTAATCAGTGGTCCGGGATAGCGCTCTTCAACTTATCGCTCTTTAAACATACCTTAATTTGTAAATTTTCTATCGCGTTTCATTTGTATATGACTGTACATGAAGTATGCGAATCGAGACGCAATTCACAAAGTATAGCTGAGGCGTATAAAGTGGATAACTCGTGAGATCATCTCAAGTGTCGCGTGACACTGAGGTAGCGCTTTTTCCATGAACATACCACTACGCAGGACAAGTGTCCAGGACATTCTGCTGGATCGCCTTGTTTTCTTTTCTTTTTCTTAAAGGGCCACTCACCGGGCTCATACCGAATTTTAGTTAAACAGTGGAAGTTGTTGGGTGTCCGATGAGGAACATTTTGCCACAAATTTTTTTCGAATCAGTTCATTACGAGAGGAGAAAACAGGTTTTTTGAAGCGTCGCGAAACGAGGGTGAAAGGAGGCGAGCTCGCAACCCTTGCCGCTCCTCCGCGTA